TTCTGGTTTTCCCCAAAATGTTGAGCACGAGACTCACACTGGGATGTTCCCTACAAAGTACAGAGGACTCTTTGGTAAACCATGTGTAAAATGTGTATCTGGGAATGCCATAAGAAGCATAGAGGCCGGTGTCAGGCGCGCTGCCACGAACAAAACACGATTGGGGCGGATGAGGGGGGGGGGGGTTTCCTGCATTACATATTTTCCAAGCCTTGTGCAGTCTCTGCCACGTAATCCACAGGAGAACGTTGATAGGTTATCGTTCTGAGGCTGTTTTCTCTTAGACGTCTCCCCGGCTCTCTTTCAAACTGCAGGGGTAGTCTTGAAAGGATGTGATCTGTTGTCTCAACAGCCAGTCCGCATGTGCACAATGCTGGTTTACCAATAGCCTAGCACTGAAAAGATGTTAAGAGGAAAACTAATCCAAACGTAAGAGCCGTCTCCGTAACGAAGGTTGGCTACAATATGCCACTGGTGTCTTCGAGAATGTTGTGTTATCACAGTCTACGTTCCTGCACGTTGGGTATTCCCATGGGTGCTTAGCCCTCGGATACAACAGCCTCTCCTAGATACTTCTACTAATTGTTCCCATGAGAAGTTGGTTACAATGTTTCCTGTCTCTCCTATCTCGGCATCGAAGGTGGCATAGACGTGCTTCACCATGCTTTACTCCCATGTCACGCAATCGTGTCAGCATCTGGGAATTTTGCATGGTGAGGTCCCAACATATTCCACGGTGCGATTCTCGTTCCACCATCGAAAAATCTTGAGAACGATTTTTGTTTACAATGCACAGAGAGGAACCAACCCAGTATATTACTCTAGGATCATGACAATGATAACCGCATTGGCTCACTTCTAAGCTTACGTAGCTGCCCGAATAGGATATGCGGTGTTTGGAAAGATACGTAATAAACAGTCATCCCCTCTTTACAAGTGTTTGATATTGTCATGCAAATCTGGGCTTGTGAGATGTTATTTTATCTGTTACATCTCCCACCCACTGTTCAAAGGCTTCACGCATTGGTTTCTTTTTGAGCATCTTTCGTATTATTAATTTGTGGCACTTGTTATCCCCCCCCCCCATTTCCTCCACCAGCGACTGCCATTCATGTATAGAAACTATCCGTCAGCGATCAACGTTGGCTTTTCATTAGCAAGACGCTGTCCTTGCATACCCTTTATTGCGATAGAAATACAGCGGCGTCAGAGGCTAGGAGCTTAGGTATACTGACCCCATTGACTTCACCCTCCACAAATATTTTTAGAAAAGGGTGGGAGGGGTGGGGGTTTGGGTGGGGAGGGGGGGGGGGGCTAAGCACGAATAAGAGTTTAATCTGGTCCCCCAGAAAAAAAAACAAGGGGGGGGGGGGTTCCATGTGCCGAAGCCGCCATGTTTCTGCGCTTATGGAGCAAGGCAATGTGTTCATGTATTTCGGACTACAGTAGATGGGAATGCATAGTTAAAATAATAAAAAAAAATCTGCGTGTGAGTTCCGGGGCTAAATTGTGGGGATATCGAGAACAGACACTGCCTACCCAACAAGCATGTCGTAAGAGTCGACTAACTGGGGGCTTCCTTCGAAGTCGGAATGCATCTGCCTGAGAGGCAATGAAGAAGAGGCAGTGGGTCTATTTTGGTTTCCCCACAAAGGGGGCCGTCAAGGGGAAAAAACGATTTTGAACTCACACCTTCATCAGGTTACATGCACCTGGTAAAGAAGGTTGCATTCTTTGGGCACGTAAGTGCGTGAGAGAAAGAAAAAAGGAAAAAAAGGAAGAGAGAGAGAGAGAGAGAGAGAGAGAGAGAGAGAGAGAGAGAGAGAGAGAGAGAGATATTGTGGAGTGGCATGATTGCCCACGTCAGTCGGCAAGGCACCTGATGATGATGATGATATATATCTCACATCGGTATAAGGAAGACCAAAAAAAAAAAAAAATACCAGTGATTTGTATATATTTACCTTTACTGCGATACTGATTTTGCTCTTCCACATCATATTCGGCTAGGACATCGCGGTTGTTGCCATATCATGTCTTGATCTCTTTGGCCATGGTTACTTATGTGGGAGCCGAGGTATTTAAAGGTTTCAGCTTCTTCTAGATGTTGCTAGGTACTTGATTATGGCGACTGTTTACCAAATTCGTGCTTTTATTGGCTTTAATTTCCACGCTATATTAACCACAGACTGCCTCTGATTTTCGCTAGCGGCTAGACGCCTGCCTATGGATCTGAAGGTCATGGGTTCGCATCCTAATGAAGCCGGACTTTTTTTTCTTCTAAAAACCTTGACTTCCAGGTCAACCCAGTCTTAACTGGGTACCAGGTGCAGTCCTGGGAAGTAAAGGCGGCTTGTATTCACAATATACCTGAAGGCATAGAAAGGGAACTTTACTGTCTCTGATTTTGATTTAGTTCTTGCAGATTATATATGAAAAGGGGGGTAATCAAAACAAAAGAGTATTAAATATTATTAAAATTGTCTCGCTTGTACATCTATACTTGGAAAATAAAAAAAAAAAAAAATAAAAAAAGGATAAAACAGCGTCATTGCACACGGTTATAAACCATAAGTGCTCTGCCACCAGTACGGACAGCTGATAAGAATTGTCCGCCTGTGTCGCCGTTCGCACGTAACTCTGTAGCTACAGCGACGTTCCTCCATTTACCCAGAGTGTCAACTCTGGTACCCATTTGCGAGAGGCTGGGTGAACCATTGGAACCGCCCGGTGGCTGCAGTGAATCACAGCTGGATTTTAAAGCGCATTTGAATACACTCCTATCTTCACACTGGGCTGTAGGTTGCTTCCTAACCGTAGGGGTGTCGTAACATAGCTGTGTCTTGCAGAACAGGGTTTCTGGAAATTGCTTCTGTTTGATTATCACCCTTGAGGCTTTAATCTTACGGTCAGCATCATGGAAAAACTAGTCAGTGTATGAACCTGGCGGCCTGGTAGTCATGTAGTTGAATCTACTTAGATCAGAAAGAAGCGGGGGTGCGTAGGAGATAGTCCTGAAGATCTAATGTTCAAATTCACCTTGAATGAAATGTTTTTCAAAACTGACCTTGTCTTACAGATCGACCGAGCCTAAGATGTAAAATTAAAGTAAAAAAAAAACGAAAAAAACTATTTTCTTCATGACTTAGAAATATAGTGCTAGACCATTGCCGTCTAAGACACCATGGCTAGATCTATCACATTTCTAGTCAATTTTCTCTGGTTTTTCTAGATCTACTAATACTAATAGGTTCCTTTGAGTTGTGTATATTTGTTTCGCTGCTTCCATCATCTGGAATTTGACCGATCTTTAAAGGTTTTTGTTTCACAAGAGTTCTACTGTTCTAGCCGTCAAAAAATGTCGGATAAATCCAAATAAATTAAACAGCTGTCGCTCGTCTTCGTTTTTGCGACGTGCTATTGGGTCTGCATTGTTTGTACTAAATATATTGCCATCTGACGATATAAATTTGGTGAGTGAGTTTTGATTTTCTTAAAATTAGTTTAACACTTTCACTTTCAGATAGTTACGTTAAGTTTAAGTTTAAGCGTCGTCACGGTTGTTGTCACACTCACTGACTGTCACTCACCACAAACAAACTAATTTTTTAACAAACAAAAATAGAATATTTATTAATAATATTAATATTATTAATATTATCATTGTCTTTCAATCTTTGCAACCCACTCCCACTGGACTATCTGCAACCACTTTGCCACCTGAATCTGCATAGCATGCTATGGATCCTTCTGATCGCTGACTGTAGACTGTTTAGATTTAGTAGCTACTTCAGTCAAATTTTTAAAATGCCCTCTACACCAATAAAACCAGCACAGTTAGATAGCTGTAAACAATCTCTTTCCAATGGTACCTCATTTAGGCTTGTATGTCATTTCTGAGCTGAGATATGTAGGTTTTTGTGGAGATAAGATGTAGAAAGCAGCTGCTAAAACTTGTGTCCCAGAAACAAGGTTTTCTCTGCGCATGCGCACTTCTGTTTTGGCTTTGTTGACATTGGACTGTCACTGGACAAGATGGCAGACAATGAGACACAGCCACATACCGATTGCCTAAAAAATGTCACTGTAAATTTAAAAAGCCACTGTACAGAAAGAAATTTGTAAATGTAAATGTAAAATTGGACGGAGAATTCAATTATAACTAGCATTACGGTTCATTACCAGTACGAGTAATTTTTAAAGCCTAAAGCCAACCCTGAATCCTTATCGCTATTTTGAATCAAACTGATGTAACAGAAAAACTGAGGACGTCCGGCTTTCGTAGACATGCGCTGTTAATCGAGTTCCTTCCCGCCGTTTTCAGCTATTTAGAGTGGGTGAAAACCACACCAATCGCAAAATTTCATGAGAGATTAGGACCCATCCCGAAACCCCAGCCGATATTTGCGAAATAAGTTTCGAACGGTTTCCGGGTAACGGAAATTGCCGAAAAGACCGCAAATTGTCGAAACTGTAGTCCCTAGATTTAGTGACTTTAGTCTGGATCGCAAGGAACCACATCAGTAGTTTAGTTATGTACTTTAGTCAAATTTTAAAAATTCCCTCTACACCAATAAAACCAGCACAGTTAAATAGCTGTAAACAATCTCTTTCCAACGGTACCTCATTTAGCCTTGTATGTCATTTCTGAGCTGAGATATGTAGGTTTTTGTGGAGATGAGATGTAAAAAACAGCTGCTAAAACTTGTGTCTGAGAAACAAGAAGTTTCTGCTTGCAAATGAGTCAGACCTGTGAAATGGATGTACATGCAACACCCAGGTTTTGGAACAGGACTGGAGTCCAGAAGTGGACAAACAGCCAGAATTTCCCACCAGAGTTTGCAGCTGGTGAACGCGAAGAAGAAGAAGAAAAAGAAGCTTGCAGTTCCATATATCTGTGATTATTCTGTGTATGTATTTGTTTAGTCTTATTCTGCAGGTGAAAATCAGTCAGTGTTGTAGTAGTCTGCCAGTTTGATCAGAGGATCGGCTAGAGCAGCATGGACCCTGCTCACAACAATAAACCTCTGAGGTTTAACAGAAAAAAGAACAAGCCACCAATGCCAGTTACTCGCACATACTCAGAAGGAAGAGATGGTTTGTAGGACTTTATGTCTTGTATAGTTTAGATTTTGTAAATTGTCTCATTTGACTTTGTGTAGCTTCATTTCAACATTTGTTGTTTCATTTAGACTTATACCAGCTGTACACACATGTCATAATTGTAACTGACTTACATAGCATGTTGAGAAAGGTTTTAGTCTTAGTCGAGGTTTCAACTTCAATGCAGTTGGGTTTCCCATACTTGCTCTGTTCCTGTGTCAGTGAACATCAAATGAAATGTCCCTCACTGTCCTTTTTGAAAAACTGGTGAACAAACAAGTTGAGAAAGGTGGGGACAGATATGTTCTGTGCAGTGTGGCAAGCATTGCTTCAGAGGTCCTGGATAGTTAGCGTCCTTGGGCTGTTTTCTATAGGTTATGGCAGTGTGTTGGGATATGAACAGGCAGATCGACTGGGTGGTTATGCACCACTTGGTGATGAACTGATGCATAACTAGCTAAATATTGTAAGAGTCCTGTGGGAGTGAGTGAACAGTGCAGAAGCACAAATACATAATCACGGCCTGAGGAGAATGGCGCTGCGAGCAGTGACCAGGAGATCTGGCTGACGCTCAACACTCAAGGACAACCTGAGACAGATACACAATCAGACAGTTATTGCTGACATCGGGATTGGAATTCTGCACTTACTGCTGAAGATGGGGATGGAGGGTTTATGGGAATGTTCCCAGTTCTGTGATGTCGTTACTGATTAACATTCAACATTTTGATTTTAATTATCTTATTGGGACTTTATATATAATGCTTTATCAGACATTGTTTCATTTAGACTTATTAATTGTCTCTGTTATACATTTTTAAAGTAACAGAAAATGTATTGATCAGCACTCATAGAAAGAAGTAGAAAGATAGAAGAACACACTAGACAACATACAAATTGAAAGCTATAGTTACCGTGCCGGGAATCGAACCTGTCTCCTCCAGACGCCGTGTGCGCTTCGCCATGGAAACAAGCACACTAAGAACATGGTCAGCTAGGCACCCCCCAAAAAATGTGTCTTATTGGCCATGTCTGTTGTACAGCTTGAAACCCACAACTTTGGAATACGGCCTCAAGGGTTCCCCCTCTGTTTATTTACATTTTTAAAGATATTATTGAGACTTATATCCTATTTAATTTGGACTTTGTATTATATCTGACTTGACAAAGACAGATTGCATAAAATTATGAGATGTTGGCAAATAAAAATCTCTTATACCAAATGCTTTCAGATGATGTAACGTCCAGTACTAGTAGTAACCAGTATTTAATGCCAGGAACTGACTTCGGCCCTGAACTTGGCCCTGACCCCCCGCCTGGCGACATGATTGGGATGTACAACATGATGGGGCCTATGGTGGGGTCCATGGGGGGTGACCCCAATATGATCCTCATGGGGCCCATGAACTTCAACAGTGTAAGTATTTAAGATCATGTATTCATAAAACTAGTATCATTTCCTTTTAAACATTTAACTACACCAAAGTGGTTCATGTGCTTACTTGCCAAGACATCTGTCTGGTTTTAATTTCCAGCAGAGATATAATTGATTATTTTTCATATCAGTACAGCTCTTGAGTTGATCCATCATAATCTTTGTGTGGGTACCGGGGCCCCATTCTGGTGGTAAAAGAATATAACCACTGCCTCACTAACAAGGCGACAAATAAGGGGAGTTTCCTTTGAAATCAGACTGCATCTGCCTGAGAGGCCAGGAACCAAGGGTCAACAAACTGATAAGCCAGATCTGTAACACTGATGGGCATGCAAAACTCTGCAAGTAAGAACTGTGTAAGTAAGACCCACTGGCTCACTAACATGGCGACTAATAAGGAGAGTTTTCTTTGAAGTCAGATTGCATTTGCATGAGAGGCCAGGAACCAACAGTCTGCATACAAATAAGCCGAATCTGTACCACTGGGGTACATGCGAAACTCAAGTACTGGAACAAGACCAAAGTCCAGAAATCAATGATCAACCAGAACCCCCCCCCCCTTCATCTTTTCCCCCTCCAACAAGCGTGTTGTAAGACCTAACTGATTAGTTAACCCATTAGGGTTGTTTAGTTCATTGTTAGATTGCATCTGACTGAGAGATAAGGAACTAACAGTCTGCATACAAATAAGTCAGATCCTTCAGTTTATTCAATGGTTACTGTAAATGCAGGATTATTCAACGAATTTTTTACTCAGGGGCCAAACATTTTGAAACTGAGGATCATCGCTGGCTAGAGGCCCCAGCCGCAGCATAGAAAGATCAACAACACATTATAACTAACTGGCAATGATCGGTGGACCACTTGGTAGGCTTCCACGGGCCAGATTTGACCCGTGGGCCACCAGTTGAATAGCCCTGCTGTAGTGTGTGTGTGTCTAATCAGGTACAGCGAAGTATGCCAGGCAGTAAATTATGCAATCTGTTATGTCCAGGGCTGCCAGTGGGATTTTATGAAAACCCAAGTTGAGCTGACCAAAAACCCAAGTAATACATATGCAAAGAACAAAAAAATAAAAATAAAAACCCAAGATTGACAAAAATTACAAATTTTATAGTTACGAAATGAAACATTTACCCACAATTATAAAAGGACATATTAAAAAAAAACAAAGATTCCAAAATCTGAACCTACGGCGACATTTAAAAACCCACATCTTGGGAGAAAACCCAAGTTTTGGCAGCCCTGGTTATGTTTTGTTTGTTTCAACTCACAGCGGGAAAACATTGCCTTGATATAATATTACAGTAAACCAGCCATGCATTTACATCTTCAGATAAACACAGAAGAAGAAGATATTACAGTAAATTCATTAACACAAACTCCGGGGGACTGAAAAAAAAAGTTTCTGTTAAACAAAATTTGGGCTAATTAGGGAGTCAGATTTCAGTGTTGCAGTTGAACAAAATTGTTATGCCCTCTTCACAGTAAAAGTGTACCATTCTTGTCTTTGGGAAAACATTCCTGTGATTTCCTATTACAGTAAACTCTCGTTAACACAAACTCCATGGGACTAAAAAAAAAGAACCTGAGTGTTGTGTGAACTTTCATTGTACGGATCTGACTTATGTGTATGCCTTGCCTCTCCGGCAGATGCACTCTGACTTCGAAGAAAGCTCCCAGATAAAATCTGGTTATGCAACAGATTACCTGGTGCCACAGACTAAAAACAATTTGTAATTCATGGTAAATGAAAATTTATGTCATCCGATTAAACTTTCTGTAAGAAACAATACATCTCTACCTGCGCCAACATTTTGTTCTTTTTTTAACCAAATGTTCTTCTTAAGTGAGTTCATGTTAATGAGGGTTAACTGTAGTTGTGTTTGTATATCTGCTAGTTTGTTATTAGTGAAATATCGGATGTGTTCTAGTTACATTTTTACTTGATTGAAAATATTTCCATACAGTTTGATGGTGTGATGGGCCCCGGCTCAAATGCAATGATGGGTGCTGGTCCAGTTAATATGATGGGTCCTGGTTCAAATCCAATGATGGGTCCTGGTCCCAGTTCAATTTTGGGTCCAGGTCCGGGTCCCATGATTGGTCCAGGTCCCATTGCTGGAATGGGTCCAAACCCAATGATGGGCCCAGGCCCCTTGGGTATGATGGGTCCAGGAATGATGGGGCCTCACATGCTTGTAAAAGAGATCATTCGTCTGAATTCCTGTGTCTTGTATCCTCCACCACCTGGTGAGTATTCATTCATTCATTCATTTATGTATTCATTCATTCATCCACTCACTCATTCATTCACTTATGTTTTTCACTCTGAAGGTGGTAGTATTAACTCTCTCAGTCCCAGAGGTTTAGCATCTGAAGCCCAAGGGATAGTACAGAGGAACATATAACTGGCACATCTTGCATTCCCTGGGCTTCTAGGTAGGATCCTATGAATGTATGATGTGGTTCATTGGACTGAAAGAGTTAAAGCTGTCTATGTCCCTTCTCAATTTCCTTTTGGTTTGGCAGCTGGCAGCCTGGTGGTTGGGAATAAGCACACTGTGTGCCCCACCTTAACTATGTGTCAGAGGGGAAGACAGAAACATAACCCATATTTTCTTTAGAACCAGTACAGTGTACTTCTAGCTGCTACCTGGGGAAGTAGGCAGTCCACAGACACCCCAGCACAGTACTACTACTTCCAAGACCAGACAAGTGAAACACTTTGTATGGAGGAAAAGAACAGCTTGTGAAAACATGTAAACTCCAATACATGGCACTGGGCCAAAGGGTGAAAGCTCATGCGACGCTAGATCGATAAAAACAACCACACAGTTTCCTGTACCCAACAGCTTACTTTTATCAATATCATCTTCATCATTACCTTGCGGTGTCAATATCAAACATGGACAATGATTAGATAACATGAAATAATTACCTCCAGAATGCTCTGTCTCTGAAAGGTCACCAACAACACAAAAAGTGTTGAATACCAGCATTAGAAAGAAGATTGGAACAAGAACATGCCTACATTATATTGACAGTCAGAGAATGAAGTAGTTTGAACATCTAGTATTGAATGCAGCTAGCTCAAACAGTATGAGACCTTCTAGAGCTAAACATCTTTGTGGAAGATGAGAGGAAGACAAAAGAAAAAGTGGATAGATGGCATGGCTAAAACCTGCAAAAAATTTTTTTTTAAATATTAAATTAATGTTACTTGAAAGAAACCATTGAGATGTAATGTTAAAAATTATGAATGACTACTTTGTGTGTGTGTTTACACGTGAGAGTGTGTGCGAGTGCGTTACTTCTAAAAAATAGGTTGAGCTTAATTATTTGACAACAATAGTCATGAATTTTGCCATATTTCATGAATTTTCTATCTCTTCTGTGTTCAAGCCTATAGTGATGGCTGACAAATTGTGTTGTGATTTTACAACTAGGCAGCAATGTCTGCACTTTTTGACCCAAAACATTAGATTTCGCCAGACCCCATAATTAATTGCCATTTACAACATGCTTGTTAAGGTGAAGTAGATCTGCTCCTGTCTGCAATCAGGCAATACGTCAAGATCTTGATACCCAGTCCTAACAAACCCGAGTGGATCAGTCACAGTTACGCTGGTTTGGACATGTGTGCAGAATGGGAAAAAATTGGCCACCGTGGCAGGCATGGGAGGCTAAGAGCCAGGGAACTAGACCTCCAGGGTGACCCAGGGTTGGCTGGGAAGACAACATCCAACAGTCCCTCACTGACAGAGGACTGGAATGGAACAAAGCCAGAAAGAAAACTGCTGATAGAGACTTCTGGCGATCTCTCTGGCAAGATTTCTGCACCCCAAGGTAGAAGAGGAGTGACTAAGAAAAAGAAGAACGACCCCCCCCCGCTGAAAAAATGGGCCTCCAGAACCCCACAGGTATGCCTTGAGTTCTAAAGCTCATTGTGGGGATGCTGTTTTGTGATAATTTAAAAAAAAAAAATCCAGAAACCATGAGTTGTTAACCCTTTGGCTTGGTACTATGGATATTGCAACCCTTGGGCCTTGATTCTGTGATAGATACCATAAATCTGGGAGAAATGTGGCTTTTCTGCTTTTCTGCCTGTCCGTGAACCCTGACCACAAGGAGTTCCTGACCCGGTCGCTGCGAAGTCAAGTTTAACAAACTATGCCGGGCAGCTGAATGTGGTTAAAAAAGGAAATGAAGGACGGAAGAATCCAAGATTTTCTTGTGATTGTTATTAATAAAAATGTTTCTTCTCTGTTGCCAGGTGCGCCACCTTCCAGTGTCAGAGTAAAACCACCAGGATGCCGAACTATATTTGTTGGTGGCATCCCAGAGAACAGCACTAGTGAGATTCTCCATGAGGTTTTTGAAAGCTGTGGCCAGATATTGAGCATTCGTATAAGCAAGAAAAACTTTGCCCACATTCGCTTTGAGAATATGGAGTCTGTGGACAGAGCTTTGTACATCTCTGGTAAAGTAGTTTGTAGTGTTTTGTGTGATGCTTAGAATCTTTAACACAACTTAGTGGAGTAAAGTAGTATACCGTTTCTTGTGATATGCCTAGATTTTTAAACACAGCTTAGAAGAGTAAAGTAGTAAAAAGATTCTTGTGGGATGACTAGATTCTTCAACACAGCTTAGTAGAGTAAAGTAGTAAACAGATTCTTGTGTGATGCCTAGATTCTTTAACACAGCTTAGTAGAGTAAAGTAGTGTACGGTTTCTTGTGAGATGCCTAGATTCTTCAACAGCTTAGTAGAGTAAAGTAGTGTACAGTTTCTTCTGAGATGCCTAGATTCTTCAACACAGCTTAGTAGAGTAAAGTAGTGTACGGTTTCTTCTGAGATGCCTAGATTCTTCAACAGCTTAGTAGAGTAAAGTAGTGTACAGTTTCTTGTGAGATGCCTAGATTCTTCAACACAGCTTAGTAGAGTAAAGTAGTGTACGGTTTCTTGTGAGATGCCTAGATTCTTTAACACAGCTTAGTAGAGTAAAGTAGTGTACAGTTTCTTGTGAGATGCCTAGATTCTTCAACACAGCTTAGTAGAGTAAAGTAGTGTACGGTTTCTTGTGAGATGCCTAGATTCTTTAACACAGCTTAGTAAAGTAGTGTACAGTTTCTTGTGAGATGCCTAGATTCTTAAACACAGCTTAGAAGAGTAAAGTAGTAAAAAGATTCTTGTGGGATGACTAGATTCTTCAACACAGCTTAGTAGAGTAAAGTAGTAAACAGATTCTTGTGTGATGCCTAGATTCTTTAACACAGCTTAGTAGAGTAAAGTAGTGTACGGTTTCTTGTGAGATGCCTAGATTCTTTAACACAGCTTAGTAGAGTAAAGTAGTGTACGGTTTCTTGTGAGATGCCTAAATTCTTTAACACAGCTTAGTAGAGTAAAGTAGTGTACAGTTTCTTGTGAGATGCCTAGATTCTTCAACACAGCTTAGTAGAGTAAAGTAGTGTACGGTTTCTTGTGAGATGCCTAGATTCTTTAACACAGCTTAGTAGAGTAAAGTAGTGTACGGTTTCTTGTGAGATGCCTAGATTCTTCAACAGCTTAGTAGAGTAAAGTAGTGTACGGTTTCTTGTGAGATGCCTAGATTCTTCAACACAGCTTAGTAGAGTAAAGTAGTGTACGGTTTCTTGTGAGATGCCTAGATTCTTTAACACAGCTTAGTAGAGTAAAGTAGTGTACGGTTTCTTGTGAGATGCCTAGATTCTTTAACACAGCTTAGTAGAGTAAAGTAGTGTACAGTTTCTTGTGAGATGCCTAGATTCTTCAACACAGCTTAGTAGAGTAAAGTAGTGTACGGTTCCTTGTGAGATGCCTAGATTCTTTAACACAGCTTAGTAGAGTAAAGTAGTGTACGGTTTCTTGTGAGATGCCTAGATTCTTCAACAGCTTAGTAGAGTAAAGTAGTGTACAGTTTCTTGTGAGATGCCTAGATTCTTCAACACAGCTTAGTAGAGTAAAGTAGTGTACGGTTTCTTGTGAGATGCCTAGATTCTTTAACACAGCTTAGTAGAGTAAAGTAGTGTACGGTTTCTTGTGAGATGCCTAGATTCTTTAACACAGCTTAGTAGAGTAAAGTAGTGTACAGTTTCTTGTGAGATGCCTAGATTCTTCAACACAGCTTAGTAGAGTAAAGTAGTGTACAGTTTCTTGTGAGATGCCTAGATTCTTTAACACAGCTTAGTAAAGTAGTGTACAGTTTCTTGTGAGATGCCTAGATTCTTAAACACAGCTTAGAAGAGTAAAGTAGTAAAAAGATTCTTGTGGGATGACTAGATTCTTCAACACAGCTTAGTAGAGTAAAGTAGTAAACAGATTCTTGTGTGATGCCTAGATTCTTTAACACAGCTTAGTAGAGTAAAGTAGTGTACGGTTTCTTGTGAGATGCCTAGATTCTTCAACAGCTTAGTAGAGTAAAGTAGTGTACGGTTTCTTGTGAGATGCCTAGATTCTTTAACACAGCTTAGTAGAGTAAAGTAGTGTACGGTTTCTTGTGAGATGCCTAAATTCTTTAACACAGCTTAGTAGAGTAAAGTAGTGTACAGTTTCTTGTGAGATGCCTAGATTCTTCAACACAGCTTAGTAGAGTAAAGTAGTGTACGGTTTCTTGTGAGATGCCTAGATTCTTTAACACAGCTTAGTAGAGTAAAGTAGTGTACGGTTTCTTGTGAGATGCCTAGATTCTTCAACAGCTTAGTAGAGTAAAGTAGTGTACAGTTTCTTGTGAGATGCCTAGATTCTTCAACACAGCTTAGTAGAGTAAAGTAGTGTACGGTTTCTTGTGAGATGCCTAGATTCTTCAACACAGCTTAGTAGAGTAAAGTAGTGTACGGTTTCTTGTGAGATGCCTAGATTCTTTAACACAGCTTAGTAGAGTAAAGTAGTGTACGGTTTCTTGTGAGATGCCTAGATTCTTTAATACAGCTTAGTAGAGTAAAGTAGTGTACAGTTTCTTGTGAGATGCCTAGATTCTTTAACACAACTTAGTAGAGTAAAGTAGTGTACGGTTTCTTGTGAGATGCCTAGATTCTTTAACACAGCTTAGTAGAGTAAAGTAGTGTACGGTTTCTTGTGAGATGCCTAGATTCTTCAACAGCTTAGTAGAGTAAAGTAGTGTACAGTTTCTTGTGAGATGCCTAGATTCTTCAACACAGCTTAGTAGAGTAAAGTAGTGTACGGTTTCTTGTGAGATGCCTAGATTCTTTAACACAGCTTAGTAGAGTAAAGTAGTGTACGGTTTCTTGTGAGATGCCTAGATTCTTTAACACAGCTTAGTAGAGTAAAGTAGTGTACAGTTTCTTGTGAGATGCCTAGATTCTTCAACACAGCTTAGTAGAGTAAAGTAGTGTACGGTTTCTTGTGAGATGCCTAGATTCTTTAACACAGCTTAGTAAAGTAGTGTACAGTTTCTTGTGAGATGCCTAGATTCTTAAACACAGCTTAGAAGAGTAAAGTAGTAAAATGATTCTTGTGGGATGACTAGATTCTTCAACACAGCTTAGTAGAGTAAAGTAGTAAACAGATTCTTGTGTGATGCCTAGATTCTTTAACACAGCTTTGTAGAGTAAAGTAGTGTACGGTTTCTTGTGAGATGCCTAGATTCTTCAACAGCTTAGTAGAGTGTACGGTTTCTTGTGAGATGTAGTGTACAGTTTCTTGTGAGATGCCTAGATTCTTCAACACAGCTTAGTAGAGTAAAGTAGTGTACGGTTTCTTGTGAGATGCCTAGATTCTTTAACACAGCTTAGTAGAGTAAAGTAGTGTACAGTTTCTTGTGAGATGCCTAGATTCTTCAACACAGCTTAGTAGAGTAAAGTAGTGTACGGTTTCTTGTGAGATGCCTAGATTCTTTAACACAGCTTAGTAGAGTAAAGTAGTGTACGGTTTCTTGTGAGATGCCTAGATTCTTCAACAGCTTAGTAGAGTAGTGTACAGTTTCTTGTGAGATGCCTAGATTCTTCAACACAGCTTAGTAGAGTAAAGTAGTGTACGGTTTCTTGTGAGATGCCTAGATTCTTCAACACAGCTTAGTAGAGTAAAGTAGTGTACGGTTTCTTGTGAGATGCCTAGATTCTTTAACACAGCTTAGTAGAGTAAAGTAGTGTACGGTTTCTTGTGAGATGCCTAGATTCTTTAACACAGCTTAGTAGAGTAAAGTAGTGTACAGTTTCTTGTGAGATGCCTAGATTCTTCAACACAGCTTAGTAGAGTAAAGTAGTGTACGGTTTCTTGTGAGATGCCTAGATTCTTTAACACAGCTTAGTAGAGTAAAGTAGTGTACAGTTTTTCTTGTGAGATGCCTAGATTTCTTCAACAGCTTAGTAGAGTAAAGTAGTGTACAGTTTCTTGTGAGATGCCTAGATTCTTTCAACACAGCTTAGTAGAGTAAAGTAGTACGGTTTCTTGTGAGATGCCTAGTACGGTTTCTTTGAGAACACAGCTTAGTAGAGTAGTAAGTAGTAGTGTACGGTTTCTTGTGAGATGCCTAGATTCTTTAACACAGCTTAGTAGAGTAAAGTAGTGTACAGTTTCTTGTGAGATGCCTAGATTCTTTCTTAACACAGCTTTAGCCTAGAGTAAAGTAGTGTACGGTTTCTTGTGAGATGCCTAGATTCTTTCTTTAACACAGCTTAGTAGAGTTTGTGAGAGTTAATACAGCTTAGTAGAGTAAAGTAGTGTACTTGTGAGATGCCTAGATTCTTAAACACAGCTTAGTAGAGTAAAGTAGTAAAAAGGTTTTCTTGTGAGATGCCTAGATTCTCTAACACAGCTTAGTAGAGTAAAGTAGTGTAGTTTCTTGTGAGATGCCTAGATTCTTTAACACAGCTAGTAGAGTAAAGAGTAAAGTTTCTAGTGTACTAGATTTTCAACACAGCTTGAGATGCCTAGATTCTTCAACACAGCTTAGTAGAGTAAAGTAGTGTACGGTTTTCTTGTGAGATGCCTAGATTCTTTAACACAGCTTAGTAGAGTAAAGTAGTGTACAGTTTCTTGTGAGATGCCTAGATTCTTCAACACAGCTTAGTAGAGTAAAGTAGTGTACAGTTTCTTGTGAGATGCCTAGATTCTTTAACACAGCTTAGTAGAGTAAAGTAGTGTACGGTTTCTTGTGAGATGCCTAGATTCTTTAGAACACAGCTTAGTAGAGTAAAGTAGTGTAAGTAGTTTCAGTTTTCTTGTGAGATGCCTAGATTCTTCAACACAGCTTAGTAGAGTAAAGTAGTGTACGGTTTCTTGTGAGATGCCTAGATTCTTTAACACAGCTTAGTAGTAGTGTACGGTTTCTTGTGAGATGCCTAGATTCTTCAAAGCTTAGTAGAGTAAAGTAGTGTACAGTTTCTTGTGAGATGCCTAGATTCTTCTTGTGAACACAGCTTAGTAGAGTAAAGTAGTAAAGTTTCTTGTGTGATACTAGATTCTTTCTTGAGTAAAGATGTTTCTTGTGAGATGCCTTCTTTAACACAGCTTAGTAGAGTAAAGTAGTGTGTGAGACTAGATTCTTTCTTGTGAGATGCCTAGATTCTTCAACACAGCTTAGTAGAGTAAAGTAGTGTACAAGTGTGAGATGCCTAGATTCTTTAACACAGTAGTAGAGTAAAGTAGATTCTTGTGAGATGCCTAGATTCACAGCTTAGTAGAGTAAAGTACAGTTTCTTGTGAGATGCCTAGATTCTTCAACACAGCTTAGTAGAGTAAAGTAGTGTACGGTTTCTTGTGAGATGCCTAGATTCTTCAACACAGCTTAGTAGAGTAAAGTAGTGTACGGTTTCTTGTGAGATGCCTAGATTCTTCAACACAGCTTAGTAGAGTAAAGTAGTATACTGTTTCTTGTGAGATGCCTAGATTCTTTAACACAGCTTAGTAGAGTAAAGTAGTTTACGGTTTCTTGTGAGATGCCTAGATTCTTCAACACAGCTTAGTAGAGTAAAGTAGTAAACAGATTCTTGTGTGATGACTAGACTTTTAAACACAGCTTAGTAGGGTAAAATAGAATAGAGTTTCTTGTGTGGTGCCAAGACTCTTTTACACAGCTTAATAGAGTTGGCTAAACTCTTTCTGCCTTTTAATGTCTCTTGTGTAAATTCTCTAGACTAAATGTTGACCTCTTCTTGTAAGCAAATTCATAGAATAGAAAAATTTTTGTAAACAACTGTTTGCAAATGCAAGTTAAACACAGGTTAGTAGAGTTTCTTATTGTGTTCTTGAATGTGTGAAGGTGGTAGGAGTAGTGTTATTTGGTAAAAGAACTATTGTCATTACATTTTATACCTTGTTTGAGTTAACATTTGGTTACATGGAAAGATAAAAGCATTATGTTTGTAGCATCATCATCGTCAAGTGCCTTGATGACTAGCTTGCGTGATTATGCCTCTCCACAAGCTGCGATCTCCAACAGCATGTATCAGTTTGTGTGCTGACACCCCACTATGCTGTGGCAAGAGGCTGTAAAGAATCATCTCAAGCTGTCTTCCTCTGTCTCTCTTTCCATAGATCTTTCAGGCTGTCAGAGCATATTCTGTAGTTTCCTTCTTCTCATAACATCACCCAAAAAAAATGATGACTTACGTTTGTGTTAAATTGTCTCTTTCAAAACATCTGGGTTGCTCTTTTTTTACCTGTCTATGGAATTCTTCTGTAAAACCTCATCCTTGAGGTCTCAAGAAATTGTTTTGCTTGTTGATTTTATTATTTGTCTAGGATTCACCGCCATTTGTCAAAAGCGGCTCCATATAACATGCACAATTTCTTTTTCTAACCTGCAATGACATGGATTTATTGCATAACATGTTCTTTATACAGTTTTAGCCTATCCTGTTGTGTTCGTTATCATTGTAATACATAGTCTGTTGGATATTATCCATGTGCTTAGATACTTTAGTTTCTTTTTTGTCCTAAAATAAAGCTCTAGGCTTTTATTATGCATAAGGCACAATTAATTTCTTTGATGTCTTTCCATTGTTCAAACTGAGGCCCATTCTATCACTCTTTACCACTACCGCTTGTTACAAATAAATGTTAAACCATTTGTCTGTTACACAGAAAGTTTTAAATGAGAGGAGTGTTACACATAAGGTATTACATAGTCTGTTACATAAAAAATGTTAATCTTTTTTTTCTTTTTATAGTCTATTTAGTGTTGCGTTAGTAGTCATATCTATACACAACCTTCTGTCTCGTGTGCATTTACTCGATTCACGCACAGAGGATCTTCCATGCCATAATGGTAAACTATCCAGCGTCCTCTCTTTGGGTCTCTCTCTCTGTTTCCTACGCCTCCAGCTGTCTTTCGTGACATCTTTATTTCTGTTTTTAATCTGTCCAGGGTGTTCTCATCATTTGTCTACATAAACACATCTCTGTCGCTTCCACATAATTTTCACTAATGGACCAACTGTCCACGTTTCGCTGAAGCAGGGTATCATTTATATAGCTCTTGAGAATTCTTTTGATCTGTTACATAGAAAACATTGAAACAATTTGTCAGCTGTACAGGAAGTGATAAACCGCTGGTCTGTTGCATAACAAGTTTTGAACAGTTAGCCTGTTACATATCAGATAACCCTTCTAACTGGCGTAGGCGCTCATAGGTCTCCACAGATCACGATCCCTGGTTGCCTGGAACAGCTCTCTTGATGATATCCCACCGTGCCATTGTTTCAGCCCATCCAGCATCTCTTCTTTTGGTCTGCCTCTACCCCCTTTTCCACTGATCTTTCCAGTTGTCATGATGTTTTCCAATGTCTCTCTTCTCATTATGGGGCCAAAGAACAGTGTTTGTCTTTTTCTTATTGTTGTATATAGAGATATACTTTTATTAGCTTCTTTCAAGCAATCGTTGTCAGTTACTCTGGCCGTCTAAGGTATTCGCAGCATTCGTCTCAGAAACCACATCTCTGTTGCTTCCAAATTCTTCCTAATTTGTTTACTAACATTCCAAGATTCGCTGCCATACAGCATCTCATCACAGTACCTTGTGAAAATGTTAACACAGTCTCTGCAAAGCCAGTAGCATACACATGCATTAAATGCATAAGGCAGCTGTCAGAAATGCCAACACAAACACTCTGGCGCTATAAATGCAGTTTATCCTAGCTGGAGGCAGCAGTTACAACAAGTCAGTAATTGCATATGATTTGGACATGTATGCACAATGGGAGAAAATGGGCCATCATGGCAGGCATGGGAGGCTAAGAACCAGGGAACCAGACCTCCAGGGCGACCCAGGGTCCACTGGGATGACAACATCCGACTGTCCCTAACTGACAGAGGACTGGAATGGAACAAAGCCAGGAAGAAAACTGCTGATAAAGGCATCTGGCGATCTCTCTGGCAAACCTCTACACTTAAAGGTAGAAGAGGAGCGACTATGTAAGTAAGTAAGCAAGGAACTTAATTGCATCACCAGTTCTCTGGCAACAGACCTCTCACCATTTTCTGCATCTTCAGTTCACAACACAACCATGCTGGGCACAGTTGATAAAGCATTCCAAATGAAATCTCAGCTCAGTAGCTGGGCGACGGAACTGTATCCTTTCAGGCACATATGGAGGAAAATGCAACCGCCAACACAAAAGCAAACACTTGCCATGATTAAAACAGTAAGCCTGCTTATCACCATATTGACCAGACGTTTTGTAGCCTGTTAGAAAGTTTATAAACAGTTGGCCTGTCACACAGAAAGTGATAAAATCACTTTTTGTTTGTCACACAGACAGTGAAAAAATCTTTTTTCTGTCATACAGAAAATGATAAAATCACTTTTTTTGGGTTATACAGAAAGTGATAAAATCAATTTTCTGTCACACAGAAATGATAAAATCACTATTCAGTTACATAGAAATTATTAAATAATTGGTATAATGATTGCTACACCATTTTTCTGTTTCAAGCAAACACTAACATGTTTTTCTGTTACATATTTGCTGAACATATGTGTTACTTATCTCAGGCTATCGCATGAAGATCAATGATTCTGATGAAAAAGAGGACACCGGAAGAATCCACGTGGACTATGCTCAAGCTAAAAATGACCAGTTTGAGTACGAGTGTCTCCAACGAGCTTTCGCTAGAGAGATGAGACACTTTCAGCGAATGGAAGAAGATAGGCTGCGTCCTCCAAGCCCTCCACCAGTCACACATTTCTCCGACCATGAAGCTTTGGTTCTGTTGGAAAAGTTGAAATGTGAGATTTTTTTTATTATTGTTCAGTTTGTTACAAGAAATAATTTATATTTAGGTTTGTTGAAAATGGGAAGGTATTCTTCTCCCTGTTCTCCCGCTGCTTCTGCTGCAGCTAATTCTCCTCCGTCACTATTATCATCATCTTCTTCTTCTGTTATGAGTCAAAGACTAGTTGTTGTTTGTCTTTCTCTCACAGTGTGTCTTCTTCTTCTTCTTCTTCGATCCTTCTGTCAGAAAACTTATAGGAGGCCGGTAACCTTTATGAAAGCTATCGTGCAATCCATATCCTCTCGTGTACCATACAGTTTTGTCTTCACTGTGGTTGGAACAGGCCAGATTGCGTCTCTGTTGTCAGCATATAGTTGACAGTGTTGGAGCACATGCTCAGCATTTTCTGGTGCCACGCTGCAGGGACACGTCTCCGTATTTCCAACACCGAAATGTCACAGTGTGTGATAAACTTGACTTATGAGAAGGCAGTCAGTCTCCCACTAGGGACATCAGTTTCAGGTGAAGATAATACCCCACACCCCCCCCCCCCCCCCAAAAAAAAAATTGCAAAATAATCAGGTAATTAATCCTCTACTGGGGACATTATTGTCAGACAACTGTCATATTGTTGAGAACATGAATATCCACTCACTGACCCAGCCTGATATGAGCATCATGAAATGTCTTGGGAAGTAAAGGCACGTGGTATGATGTTGACCGTGTCACTGAGTGAGAGCTGATATATAAACATTCCACATAAGGGTTCTGTGGCCTCATTTTGAGGAAGACAAAAAAGGAATGAACCCACTGTGCACTCCCACCCCCTAACAAGCATGAGGACTAATTGACAACTAATGAGACAACTAATTAGAGGTTTGTTGAAATGTGTTGTGCCCAAAGGTTAGATTTTGCAGTCTAGCTGTAAACCACAACACAACATGTTGACTGCTGTTTTAACCCTGTCTCCCCGCGGATGCTGAAAAAAATATGTGTTAATAATTTTCTGTCAACCCGACTATAAAAAAGCTATTGGACTCACAGGTCAGAATTTCTAAATGCTTTATTTATTCAATAAATTCACATCTGGGCCTCCCAAACAATACACAGGCACAAACAGAACCAATGGTATTTTACACTTTTCAAGAACGGGTCACTGTAGTAATTGAAGTTTAGCAGCATTCCCCCCCATGTGGGTTCTGGGGTCCCCTTGTGGGGAAAACAAGATTAGACCAACTGCCTCCATAACTAGCATCACATGTTTGTATGTTTTAGTATCCAGAAGCCATGAGTTATTAACCCTTAGGCTCGGTATTATGGATATTGCAACCTTTCTTCCTTGATTCCATTGTAAATACCGTAAATCTGGGAGAAATGTGGCTTTTCTGCCTACCCCCGGGAGTGAACGGACCACAAGGAGTTCATCACCCGGTCACCGCGCAATCCGGTTTAGCCAACTACACTAGACGACTAGAGAGCCGGGCTAACTAGCATCACATAAGAGATGACTATTTAGTGGCTTTCTTCAAAGTCAGAGTGCATCTGCCTTAGAGGCAATGTGTATAACGAATGCAAACGCAAACCTCAGATCCTGGAACAAAGCCAGAGTCCAGAAATGGACTAACAACCAGGTCTTTCCACAGGGGTTTGCAGCCAGTAAACGCACACACAAAAAACATATTGGGATTTACGGGGCTGTGACAGAACTGGAAGCAACAAGACTGAGTCTGTTCGGGGCAATCAGGTTAAGTGCAAATGCAGATCTTCTTCTTCTTCTTTGTGTTCATGGCTGTAGACCAGAAAGTTCTGGTTGTTCATCCATTTCTGGGCTCTGGTCTTGTTCTAGAACTTGAGTTTTGCGTGCGCATCCATTGTACAGATCTGGCATATTTGTATGCACACTGTTGGATCCTTGCCACGCAAGTGGATGTACTTCGACTTTGAAGGAAAAACCCTTAATTAAGTGCCTTGTACGACATTCTTGTTTGCCCCTGGGGGTTGGGGGGAACCCACACGGAGAGGACCCAGAAGATGAAGACTAAAAAAATAGGGAGCAAACAGCATACTCGATAATGTGAAAAGAGTTGCTTCATCTGTTTGCTTGACATGCATATCTGTTTGTTTCCAGCGGATGAGTCTTTTGTAAAAGCCTCACAGGTACTCATCACTTGGCTAGATCGAGGTGAATGCAACAGACGCACCTCCACAGGCTTCTACTCTATGATCCAGCATGTCCACGGCCACGTACGTCGGCTGACCACTGAGAGGACTGTCCTTCGGGATGAGTTTGAGCAGTACAAAATACAGTACCAGCAGAAACTCCAAGGCCTTGGCGGACAGTGTAAGTATTTTAGAATCTCACACAAAATGAGACGAAGCTTAAGGTGTATTTGTTTTGAGGTAATTCCATGGCAGTTACTAGATAGGAGGTAGGAAAACACATAAATTAAGTTACTCTATTATGAGGTGGTAGGATCTGGTTTATTCTTTGTTGTCTGTTTCTTTCCTTCTGATTCTTGTTTTATTAACTCTAACATGAACTGAGATGAAGCTTGGGGCATACTTGATTCAAGGGTTGAGTTATTCCACGGTAAATACTGGGTAGGAGGTGGGAAACCACATACATTAAGTTAGTCTATTATTATCTGGTTTATTCTTTGCCATCTTGTTCTTTCCTTCTGATAGTTGTTTGATCCATCTAATAGTTTTAAACACAAATTTAGACAAAACTTGAAAAATGCTTGTTTCGAAAGTAAAGTATAGGTCTCTTTTCCACGCCTTTAGGCGTATAGGGCATATAGGGCTACACCTATATTTTTTATAGACCAATGGCACAAGATGGGTGATGTGATCTGCATCTCGCTGGCCACCTCTACTTCCCGGGACTGCACACGGTATCCACTCAAGGCTGGATCGACCTTGGGGTTAAGGTCATTTTTGAAAAAAGTCCAGCTCTGCCGGGGAGCAAACCAACAGCCTTCTGATCTGCTCCATCCTCTCTCCCATGTGGTTTCCGAGACTCCACTGGGGGAAAACAAGAATAGATCCACCACCTTCCCAGCAAACATGGCATAAGAGTCAACTAATTGAGAGCTTCCTTCAAAGTCGGAGTGCATTTTCTTGAGAAGCAATGATCTATCAGTCTCCATACAAATAATCAGCTCTGTAAAATGGATATGCACATAAAATGCAAGTTGTTGAACAAGGCTAAAGTCTAGAAATGGACAAACAACCAGATTTTTTTTAACAGAGTTAACATATGGTGAATACTAAGAAGAAGAAGAAGAAAAATGGCTAAGCACTCTTGTAGCTGCCTGTTAAGTGTAGACAGCAGGGAGGAGAAAAAAAATAACAATGTAGTCTGTGGTGAAAAGGTAACAGACGTGTCTTCATGCTAAATCATCAGATTGGATCATAGATTTCCAAAATTGTTGGCCTACCGTTCTTTTTTGTTTCTTTAAAATAGGACATTTTCTTCTCTTCTTTGACGTGCTTCCACCGTTCCCTTATTTGTATTGAACACACTTTAGCAGATGAAGCTCACCTCAAGTCCGAAGTTTGTAGGTTCAGATCCGCATCAAGCCGAATTTTGTCCAGAATGATCATGGCTCCCAAGTTGACCCTGCCTAAAATGAGTAAGCAGGTAAAGCTTGGGAAGGATACATGGCCGATGGGATGTTGACCACAACACCCAGCAAGTGCTAGGTGGTCTATAAAATATAGTAGTACTGTATTCCCAAATGTCTAATGAAGTGGAAAAAGGGGTACTTGACTTTACACTTGTATATGAGGCATGTATACGGTGATGCCCTAGATCACTCCACTGCCCCCATCTTCCTGCCTTCCAAGGAGTGGTATCAATTACTTTTAGAAACTATCATTTCAAAAGACTACATGGAATCAGGTAAATACTTTTAGCACTTTGACACAGACTTACAGTCACAGCTCAGGTAGGTCATCACATGGAGTAAAGGTGAGAATAAATATACTTTATTTTGAAGGGTTCAGGTTTGGGCATAACCTGTAATTTTACTCACTCAGATTTTGTGTGTGTGGTGGTTGGGGGAGGGGGGGAGTACCATGTAGAAAATGTAACATTTTCGGTGATAAAACAATGTTTAAAAAAATAAAATAAACATAGGGCATTGAGGTATGCAGTCCGTGTCTAGGCTTCTATGCTCCATCTTTGGGGGAAAAGATAATAAACCCACTGCTCATTAACAGACATGCACTTGTAAGGGCAACACAGAAGATTTAGAGTTCTGTTGAAAGTAAAACACTTGAATGAAGCCTGTTGAGGAAGTATAACTAGGGTACATCTAATCTTGGCCAGTCTGCATTTGCTGTACTAAAATAATGTCCAGGTTGCACCCTGATAATCAGTTTTATTTCCCTCTGTTGCTTCCTGTTGTTAGTTTACGAATAATGGCCTGATAATGTCCAAAAGATTTTCTTCTTAGCTGTCACTCTGACGGAAAGTTCTGGTTGTTTGTCCACTTCTGTACTTTCTTTTTCCAGAACTTGAATTTGACATGTACATCCACTTTACAGATCTGGCTTACTTGTTTAGAGACCCTCAGTTCTCTGTCACTCTGACGGAAAATTCTGGTTGCTTGTCCACTTTCGGTTGTCACTAATCGTACCTGGAAAACCTGGCCAGTATAAATAGGATCTGGAATTTCTTTTGAATTTGAAGTACATCTGCCTGACAGAAGAGGAACCAACAGTCTTTAGTGAGATCTGTAAAACAGATGTGTCTGTAGCACTCAAGTCCTGGATCAAGACCAAAGTCCAGAAGTGACCGAACAGCCAGGACTTTGCACCAAAGTCCACATCTGGCAGATGCAGAAGACATTGCCAAGGGCAGAGAATCCCCTGGTTTATTATAGTACAATGTGGCACTATCATCTGGGAAGATGGAAAGGTGTATGGAGCATACTCCTTTGCGCACAAAAATAGAGGTGACAAGCTGGTCTGTAGTCTTAGTTATGTATTTATTGTCACCACGCCAAAGTGACCTAAGAGAGATTTTCAGCTAAGTGCATTTTCAGGGCAGTTATTTGTCACTTTACAATATGCTAAATGCAGATGTGAGTTCCTATGCCAAACAGACCAAAGTAAAGTGTTTTTATTCAGCTACAGAATTATTAAAGAGGTCTGGGTGTTTGCGCTCAGTTTTCTTGAAACAAAGATGTAGGGTGACTTTGGCATAGTGCCAGTTATATAGGATACATAGATGTAAGTTGTTAGTAGTCTTGTGAACTCCTTCTTGTGTACGTAATTGTTCTCAAAACAAAGATTTAGCACTTTGACACAATGCCAGTGATGTATGGTATGTATATATAAGTTACTAGTAAAGTCTTGTGAACCCCAACTTGTGTGAGATTATGGTGAGACATTTCTATTATTTAGAATATTTTATCACTTTGTACCCCTAAAACCCCCCTATACAGTGTGTCAGGTAGAGAGAGTTCTGGCAGCTGCTCACAAACAAAGGTGCTGGGACCATTTCACCAAGGCTCAGCGCAAGAACATTGACACCTGGCAGCGCCAGGCACAGGTAGGGTAGTGACTGACTTCATTCACTGGTTGATGTGTGTTCGTTTTTGTGTATGTGGTAACTTGTGAGTTATTTGTAGAAGCTTGAGGTTCCAGAGGCATTTATTGATAAATGTTGTCCCAGCTGATTTGGCAAGGAAACCTAAAGAAGGGCAGTAGAAAGGGAAATAAGTGCAGGTATGTAAACAGGAGTAAAAACTGATAACAGACAAAATTTATGAATGTTTGGCAACAACCTGAAAAATGTGATGCAGATTATTATCAGGTTTCAGACGATGTCGTTTTCTGCAGCCTCCAACTGAGGGCGTGTATGTCAGGTAACCTGTCTGTTATGTGTGTTAAGGTGATGTTGTTTCTGCAGCCTCCAACTGAGGGCGTGTATGTCAGGTAACCTGTCTGTTATGTGTGTTAAGTTGATGTCATTTGTCTAGCCTGCCATAGAGAGTAAATGTGAGGGTCGTCATTTCCTGGATGGCAGAAATGTCAGGAAGCCAGCACACCATTGATGACACAAATTTCAGTTGGTCAATCCTCCGTAGGTCAGGTGTCAGGTAATCTACCGTCCATTAATGAAAAAAAAAAAAAAAGAGTATCAGATAACCATACTATCACTGAGGAGATAAATCATCAGGTAATAAGCTGACCATTGATGAAAGAAGTATCAGCAAATGTATCACCAAGGAGATCAGACCACCAGCCGATTTTTGATGAGGAAGGTGTTAAGAAGCCAGTGAATCACCAAGGAGAAAATTTCAGGTAACCATTGATGAAAGAAGTATCAGGTATCCAGTGTATCACTAAACAGATAACATATCAGATAAAAAAAACTGACTATTGATGAAAAAAGCGTCAAGTAACCAATGTATCACTGAGAAGATAAAATAATGAGATAGCCAGCTCACCAGTGATGAAAGAAGTATATGGGTAGCCAGTATATCACTAACAAGATACAATATCAGATAACCAACTGACCATTGATGAAGAAAAAAAAAGCATTGGGTAACCAGTTGTGTCATTTAGGAGATAAAATAATCAGATAACCAGCAGAGCACTGGTGAAAAAGGTATCATGTAGCTTGTCTTCTTCTTCTTCGCGTTCACCATCTGTAAACTCTGACGGAAAGTTCTGGTTGTTCGTCCACATCTGGACTGCAGTCCTGTTCCAGAACTTGAGTGTTATGTGTGAATCCGTTTGACAGATCTAACTAATTTGTATACAGACTGTTGGTTTCTTGCCTCTCAGGCAAATGCACTCCGACTTTAAAGGAAGCTCCCAATTAGTCGACTCTTGCGACATGCTACTGGGTACGCAGTGAGTCTATTCTTGATTTCCCTATAACAGGGCCCCAGAACCCACACAGGGAAAGTAGCTAGTAAATCACTAAGGAGATAAAATATCAGGTAACCAACTGACTATTGCTGAAACTGAGGATGAACATTTATCAGGTAATCATTCCTTCACCTAGGACATAAGTCTCAGGTAACCGCCACATAATTGTGAACATAAATATTGAATCGCCAGCCCATTACTAGGACCATAGAATATTAGGTAATTGGGTGACCATTGGTCAAAGAGGTCCAGATATTCAACCCATAATAAAGGATTTACAGTTAACAGGTAATTATCAGTCCTTCCCTACGGACATAAGTGTCAGGTAATCGCACATTTGTAAGAACATGAATATCAGGCTACCATCTCGTTACTGTACTACGACCATGAAATATCAGGTAAATCGCCAACCGCTAGTGAATACCATGTAGACTGGAAGACCAGGCATACTGTCCAGTACAGGAAATAAATGTATCAGGTAACAGAATGGTTGGAGTAACAGGTAACCTCCCTATCACCTATTATAACGAATATCAGGTAAGAAGATGACATACTTATCTACTTGCTTAATCACTCCTCTTCTACCTTGGGGTGTAGAGGTTTGCCAGATAGATAGTCACTCCTCTTCTACCTTGGGGTGTAGAGGTTTGCCAGAGAGATAGTCACTCCTCTTCTACCTTGGGGTGTAGAGGTTTGCCAGAGAGATAGTCACTCCTCTTCTACCTTGGGGTGTAGAGGTTTGCCAGAGAGATAGTCACTCCTCTTCTACCTTGGGGTGTAGAGGTTTGCCAGAGAGATAGTCACTCCTCTTCTACCTTGGGGTGTAGAGGTTTGCCAGAGAGATAGTCACTCCTCTTCTACCTTGGGGTGTAGAGGTTTGCCAGAGAGATAGTCACTCCTCTTCTACCTTGGGGTGTAGAGGTTTGCCAGAGAGATAGTCACTCCTCTTCTACCTTGGGGTGTAGAGGTTTGCCAGAGAGATAACCAGATGTCTCTATCAGCTGTTTTCTTCCTGGCTTTGTTTCATTCCAGTCCTCTGTCAGTTAGGGACTGTCGGATGTTGTCTTTTCAGCGGATTCTGGGTCGCCCTAGAGGTCTGGTTCCCTGGTTCTTAGCCTCCCATGCCTGCCATGGTGGCCGATTTTCTCCCATTCTGCATACATGTCCAAACCATCATGTGACTGATCCACTTAGGTCAGTGAGGACATAAATGCCAGAATTCTACTCCATTGTTGATGGCATTTATACCCCAGGTAATCAGTCATTAATGCCAAGTTTATGGCAAGTCATTGGGTGACATATATGCCAGAAGTCAACTTCATTTGTTGATGACAAAAGTCAACTTCATTTGTTGATGACAATAATACCAGGTAATCAGTCATATATGTCAGCTTTATGGCACATCGTTGAGGACAAATGCCAGGATTCTTCTCAATTGTTGATGGCATTTATACCCCAGGTAATCAGTCATAAATGCCAAGTTTATGGCAAGTCATTGGGTGACATATATGCCAGAAGTCAACTTCATTTGTTGATGACAAAAGTCAACTTCATTTGTTGATGACAATAATACCAGGTAATCAGTCATATATGTCAGCTTTTATGGCACATTGTTGAGGACGAATGCCAGGATTCTTCTCAATTTCTAATGGCATTAGTATCAGGCAATGTCATGTATTCAGCGCATCATTGTGAACAACAGGTGCTGTTGGCTTCTTCAACCCGGTAAAATTTCAGCTGCCAAAAATAATCGCCAGCTGTGAACTAGGTTTTAAAATAAAACAGTTGAAGACAGGGCACAAAGTGGTTGAAGGCCAATTCTCCTTCAGTGGATAAAGGATGAAAGCAGAACTCCAGTATCACCTTTATGTTTCTTGGTTTTGATCAGTCTTTCCAATTTGGTGGCGTGCAAAACAAATGTAAGACATCTATGATATCTTTTGCGTGGGCGCGCACATGCACGCACACACACATAACAACTGTAGAATGCAGTCTTTTTTTCTTTCTTTTCTTGTCTTTATAAATGAATTCCTGAGTGGGTTTCAGGGCCCATTTTGGGGGACAACAAAAGTAGACTCACTGCCTCACCAACAGGCATGTCGTAGGAGTCAACTAACTCGGGGCATCCTTCAAAGGGTGAGTACATCTGCCTGAGAGGAGGCAGGAAACCAAGAGTCTGCATGTATATAAGCCAGGTGTGTGAAAGGGATGTGCACCAACACTCAGGTTCTGGAACAAGACTAAAGTCTGGAGGCAAAACGAACACCCAGAAATGTCAGCTAGAGTTTACAGCCGGTGAACGCGAAGAAGTAGTAGTTTATACATTTTAATAAGTTCTTTAGTATGAATATTCCCCTAGTGGTTTCCAGGACCCCATTCTAAGGAGAAAGGGGGAAAAATAGACCCACTGTTTCCCCTGCCAAGCCTGTCACAAAAGGCCACTTATCAGGAATATTTCCTGCTAGGTCGGAGTGTGTCTCCTGAGAGGTGAGGAACAAACAGTCTGCATAGAAATAAGCAAGATCTGTAAAATGGATTTGCAAGCACAGTTCAAGTTCTAGAACAGGACTGAAGTCCAGGAGGGGACAAACAACTAGAACTTTCAGCTGGAATTTACAGCTGGTGAATGTGAAAAAAGGGAGTAAAAAAAAACAAGATAAGTTCTTTAGTACGACTTTTAAAAAGTAAGAGGTCTGTTGCAGACCTTCTAAAATGAATGAATGAAAATTAAGAATTGACATCACCACACTTGGGACATTCCCACACCTGCTCCATTCCCGTCTTCAGTAACCAACAAAGAGCTGACATGCTAATAGTATCAGTTGCAACCTGATTAAAAGTCTGCCCGTTGTTTCCCCTTTAAGGTTGAATATCTTCCGCAACCTCTTACACACCTCCCATTGAATTAGTCTTTCAGTGCATGGATTATCTATGTTCTTTTGCATTGTCCATTTGATCCCATAGAGCCTTTACCACATTTGCTTTATCATATAGCACACCTTCAAAAACAAGAGGTATTTTCACGTCTTGGCCAATTAGGAATCAATGATGAAGCTACCATCCAGGCTTGCTTCTACTGTTCCTCACTCTTGATCTTCTTCTTTTATCATCGCACTGATACCTGGTTGTAACGCAGTGTCGCTTTCTCTGTATTTGTCTTGTGCTTCTAGGGTGGCTTGGGTGGTGGAGGATTTTGTTAATCGTTTTTTTGTGTGCAGGTTTCAGCTATGCCGTTTATCCATCTCTTTCTTGGTCTTCCCCTTGCCTTTCTTCCAGATATTCTGCTGTGAAAATTCTGATACACAGTTTGGTCTGGCTGCATTCTCACTAGATGGTCAAACCATTTCATTCTTTGTCTGCCAATATAATTCATACACAATATTATTCCAGCTTTCTCTCTAATAGGACAGTGCCTGAATTATGTTGCTATCGCCTTTGATAAAAGACCATAATTATTTCTCGGCACTTTCTTCATAAAAGGAGCAACGTGTGAGTGAGGAACAGACTTTGCCAAAGACAGATGACACCACAGGGGATGATATGGTCTTTTCTGATGATGAAACTGGTGAATCTGGGCCACCCCCCAACAAGGTGTGCAAGGTGGAAACTCTATCTGACAGTGGTTAGTATTCTTGTGACTCAACTCGTTTTGTTGTTAGTTTTTTTAAAATTTAAATCTTCTATTTCTCCTCTTCCTCCTCTTCTTCTTTTTCTTCCTTTTTCTCCTCTCTTCCTCCTGGTCCTTTTCTTCTGCCTCCTCTTCTTCTTCTTCCCTTTTTCTTCCTCATTTTCCTCTCTTCTTCTTGGTCCTTTTCTTCTACCTCCTCCCTCTCTTCTTCCTTACTTCATTTACATCAAATCTTCCTTCAATTTCTTCATTTTTAATGTGGTCTCTTCTTGTGTCACAAACCTTCAGACCTTCAAACCTTCAAACAAGTTTTAAACACATTGGGTTAGTACTGGTGTTTTCTGCAATTTCAGATGCTGATGAGAATCAGAAACTGAAGGAGGAGAATGATGCTCTCAAATGTCAGATGGAGGCTTTCAGAAATGAGGTGGAGACAGTCAGACTGGAGGGAAAGGCAGAGCTGGAGGAGAAGGAAAAACAGCTGAGGGCATTACAGAATGCACTGCAAGGCATGCAGCAGGTGGGGTAACTAGTAACATTCGCTTTGTTGTCTCTTATCTTGGTCACATGACTCAGGTTGTAAAAAATCAAAAATAAAAACCCACTCTTTTTCACACCTTTAGGCGTACTGGGCTTGTTAGGCTAGGCCTGTATTTGATTGACCAGTCAGGACTAAGTTGATGTGTGGTCAGCACCACGCCAGTCACCCTTACTTCCCAGGACAAAATCTTTTTGGTTCCAAACAAAATCTTAGCTCCTAAATAAGATTTTACTTACAAGATGTTAGGTTTTAAACAAGGTCTTTCTTACAAGATTACAAGATCTTTAAAGATCTTACTTACACGATTTTAAGTTCTAAACATGGTCCTACTTACAAGATCTTAGGTTCTAAACAGTGTCTTACTTACAAGATTTTACTTACACAATCTCAAGTTCTAAACAAGGTCTTACCCACAAGATCTTACTTACACGATCTTACAAGATCTGAGGTTCTAAACAAGATCTTACTTACACAATCTTAAGTTCTAAACAAGATCTTACTTACACGATCTTACAAAATCTTAGGTTCTAAGCATGGTCTTACTTACAAGATCTTACTTACACGATCTTAGAAGATCTTAGGTTCTAATCAAGGTCTTACTTACACGATCTTACAAAATCTTAGCTTCTTACAAGATCTAACTTACACGATCTAAAGTTCTAAACAAGGTCTTACTTACAAGATCTTACACAATCTCAAAAGATCTTAGGTTCTAAACAAGATCTTACTTACACGATCTTTCAAGATCTTAAGTTCTATACATGGTTTTACTTACAAGATCTTACTTACACGTTCTTAAGTTCTAAGCATGGTCTTACAAGATCTTACTTACACAATCTTCAGTTCTAAAGAAGGTCTTAGTTACAAGATCTTAGGTTCTGAACAAGATCTTAAGTTTTAAACAAAATCTGAAGTACTAGCCAAGATCTGAAGTTCTCAAGATCTTAGATTCTAAACATAATCTTCGATTGTAATCACGATCTCGGTTTCTAAATGTAATCTTAGATTGTAATCAAGATTTTAGGTTTGGATCAATAGTCATGAACAAGATTCTACAAATGTTCCCTACATTCTATAGAAGACTTCATTTTCTAAATAGAATCCTTGATTCTAAACCAGATCTTAGGCTCTAAACAGAAGGTTACCTTCAACAAGCTATTAGGTTTTCAACGAAGATCTTTTGTTATTAACATGATGTTATATTCTGAATACGATCTAATGTTCTAAACAAAATCTTTTTTATGGAATGCATCTGGGTAGCAAGGATTGGTATGTACGGTCCCACCTAAAAAAAATGGGAAATGCCTGTGAGAAAATCATAGCCTCTGCCAATGAAGTCAACCGTACCTTCATGTGGTGCTGCCTGTTGTAACAGACATGGCTGTGGCGTATAGCGAGTCTCCATCGCTAATAAAATGGACCCCTGATGCCTGAAGGGGTAAAATACCAGGCTATGGCTGGGGTAAGCCAGACAGAAACCTTCGGTGGAGTTGCTCCCTCCCTCCATATGGTGCAGCCAGTGCGTGGGCACGTCCCGATCCCCACCAGGGTCACACCATCAGCTAGATCGCTGAATTTGACATTGTTTGATCTGATGTTGTAGGCTTGATCGCTGAATTTGACAACATTGTTTGATCTGATGTTGTAGGCTTGATTGCTGAATTTGACAACATTGTTTGATCTGATATTGTAGGCTTGATCGCTGAATTTGACAACATTGTTTGATCTGATGTTGTAGGCTTGATTGCTAAATTTGACAACATTGTTTGATCTAATGTTGTAGGCTTGATTGCTGAATTTGACAACATTGTTTGATCTGATGTTGTAGGCTTGTCGCTGAATTTGACATTGTTTGATCCGATGTTGTAGGCTTGATCGCTGAATTTGACATTGTTTGATCCGATGTTGTAGGCTTGATTGCTGAATTTGACAACATTGTTTGATCTGACGTTGTAGGCTTGATTGCCGAATTTGACAATATTGTTTGATCTGATTTTGTAGGCTTGATCGCTGAATTTGACAACATTGTTTGATCTGATGTTGTAGGCTTGATTGCTGAATTTGACAACATTGTTTGATCTGATGTTGTAGGCTTGATTGCTGAATTTGACAACATTGTTTGATCTGATATTGTAGGCTTGATCGCTGAATTTGACAACATTGTTTGATCTGATGTTGTAGGCTTGATTGCTAAATTTGACAACATTGTTTGATCTAATGTTGTAGGCTTGATTGCTGAATTTGACAACATTGTTTGATCTGATGTTGTAGGCTTGTCGCTGAATTTGACATTGTTTGATCCGATGTTGTAGGCTTGATCGCTGAATTTGACATTGTTTGATCCGATGTTGTAGGCTTGATTGCTGAATTTGACAACATTGTTTGATCTGATGTTGTAGGCTTGATTGCCGAATTTGACAACATTGTTTGATCTGATTTTGTAGGCTTGATCGCTGAATTTGACAACATTGTTTGATCTGATGTTGTAGGCTTGATTGCTGAATTTGACAACATTGTTTGATCTGATGTTGTAGGCTTGATTGCTGAATTTGACAACATTGTTTGATCTGATGTTGTAGGCTTGATAGCTGAATTTGACAACATTGTTTGATCTGATGTTGTAGGCTTGATCGCTGAATTTGACAACATTGTTTGATCAGATGTTGTAGGCTTGGTCGCTGAATTTGACAACATTGTTTGATCTGATGTTGTATAGGCTTGATTGCTGAATCTAACAATGTTGTTTATGTAAGATAAGATCTTGGGCAGTCAATTATAAGACTGTAAACGTCTGAGCTTTTTGGTTAAGGCGGTTTGTTCTACAAAAATGTGTTGATTCTAAGCACAAAGATAAATTCTAAGTTAACCATCTTCTACAAATTCATCGAACTTCACATATTGCCTACCAATTTATGTTTGACTCTCCATGGTGAATACATTTTTTTGTTTTATTTCATTTTGGGTTTGACCCTGTAGTTCTTGTCTGCCTGACTTGCATAATTCTGTGTTTCTTATTTTGTTTGGTTTCCAGCAACTGATTGTGCAGAGAGCGGTGGTGGCCAAGCTGGAAAAAGAGAACAAGGAAATCAGGTCGAAAGTAAATGATGATAGTGAGAGCAGTGCAAGTACACAGGTGATTCTTCTTTTGATTTGCCGCACATGTTTGGTATATTGAATCCTGATCTCTTAGTTTACTGATAATTTTTCTGGTAAAAGATTTTATCAGGGTTTATGCAGCCATTTATGTTCTTTTTTTTCATTTGCTCTTAAAAAGGCATTTGGCCTGTTTTGTTTCAGTTTACAACAAGACTGCGATATCTAACAATTTTGGCCCAATACATCAGACTTCGGCATACTTTGTCATCAATTATGATATGCTTGTTCGATAAAAAGGGGGAGGGGGCTCCATTTTTTTTTGTTAACCAAAAAATACAGCGCTGGAATCCACACTTGGGAACCGTTTATCAATACACTATTATATCTGTATCCTCTTTGTGTCATTCTGACATATAAGACGTTCACAAGGGATCATTTCTGTGCTAGTCTGCTGCTTTTCTGCCATTGGTATTCCATGTCATTTACATGTTATTGATGTAGAGATTATATGTTAACAACATGTGATTTGTGTAGAGATAATGTGTAACAACATGGGAATTGTTTAGAGATAATGTGTAACAACGTGAAATTTATACAAATAATGTAAAGAAACTTGAATATGATTTATATTTATAAAAGGAAATTGTATAACATGATTTGTACACATAATTTATAACTGCATGGGTTTAAATTATAATGGTGTATGTTCCTAGTGGAGCGGCTGGGCGAACAGTTAGGAATGCTAAGCCCTCATATGGAAGACCCAGGTTCAAATCGTTGGTAAGGTTGAGGATTTTTCTTGTCAGGGGGAAAAAATAAAATTATAACTTAAACAGTCTATGATGATTGCACGGAGTCCTGAGGCTCAAAGACTCCCCCTGCTTACACAACAGAAATAGTATATTACATATGGTATATTACAGGTGGTAATTGGTAGTTTGGGAGGTTCCCCATGTGGGTTCCGGGGCCCTATTATCGGGAAAACAAGAATAGACCCACTGCCTACCCAAAAGCATGTCGTAAGAGTCGACTAATTGGGAGCTTCCTTCAAAGTCGAAGTGCATCTGCTTGAGAGGCAAGGAACCAACAGTCTGCATACAAATGAGTCAGATCTGTAAAACGGATGCACACGCAACACTCAGGTTCTTTAACAGGACTGCAGTCCAGAAGTGGATGAACAACCAGAACTTTCCGCCAGAGTTTACAGCTGGTGAACGTAAAGAAGAAGAAGGTAGTTTCTCCGTGGCCTAGCGGCTAGATGCTCGCCTGCGGATCAGAAGGTTGTGGGTTCAGGTCCTGACAGAGCCTGACTCTTCGTGTGTGTTCGGAATGATCTTGGCTTCCAGGTCGACCAAGCTGCAGTCCTGGGAAGTAAAGGCAGACCACATCACCCACCAAGTTCCGATTGATCTGTAAAATATGGTCTAACCCTATATGCCCAGTACGCTCAAAGGCATGGAAAATGGCTCTTTACTTTTAATTGGCAGTTTTATTGTTGGTGACGTTCCTAGTTGAGTGCCAGCGTAACTTTGAGCCTGCAGTAATCTTATGTTTTTTCCATCACCAACAGGATGCAGACAACCCTGTCAGCAACAAGGATGAGTTGTCAGTAACCAGTTCAGGTCTGTCCTTATCAGACAAAGATGCCAAAATGATTGGTAAGCTAGTTGTCTTAAGGCTCAATGATTACGTAGTTTAACAGCAGAATGTCACAGGATAAGGAATAGTCTATGCAGGATATATTTGCCAACTGAGATGAGAAAGAAGGAAGGAACGAACGAACCTAATTTTCAAAGGGTCACAAATTGGGCACGCAGGCCTGTATTACAATTGGCCATGCAGCCCCGTCTTAACAAGAGTTGAATAGAGCCTGTCTTAATGTGTGGAAATGAATCATAAGGAGTCGGCATGTCATTGTCAGTCACGTAGTATTAGCAAATGTTACAAAAGATAATAGATTATGATTATTCTGCCTCTGCTGAGAACAAGACAGGTAATGACAGGCAGAGAAGATACCTCTGTCATGAGATTGACTTGACTCATCATCATGTAGCAGGTCCTTTGCAGAACGTCGCTCTCATCCCGGTCTGCCTGAAAGAATCTCGGTCTCTCACCAGCTCTCCCGCATCGTGTACTTTCATATTCAGGGAGTCACTTATTTCCCTGGCCATCCACATGTTGGTCGTCCCCAGATCTTCCTTCCTGGTACCATGCCTTCTGCTATTATATTTTCCAGTCCACCACAGTGCTTGGAATGACCAACATATTTCATCTTCCGAGACAAGATGCTGTTTATTAGCCAATCTTCCATGATGTCCAGATCTGTTAAAATGTCAGTATTTCTTCCCTTCTTTGTCCATGGTATTCTGAGAATCTTTTTATAGCATTTCAGCTCAAAAGCCAGTATTTTCTTTCCTAATGACTCTGAGATAGTCCACAAATCACATCCATATGTTGCTACAGGGAAGATGCCTGCTCTCAAAATTTTAATTTTGATTCCCATTCTGGTGCTTAACCATAGACTTTTAAGGCTGTTTAACCTTTACATTGCTATGGCCATCCTCCTTTTGATTTCTGTCACAGTCTCCATTGCTATTTATTGCAGAGCCTAGATATTCAAAGTTTGTGACATTGCCAGTTTCTTTATCATTTTGGGAGGGGGGGGGGGGGGGGTTATTTATGGGTGACAGTCAGTATTTGTCTGTAAATATTATTTTTGTTTTCGTTAAATTCAGAAATAGATTTTGATCTTCACTGTAGCCTAAATGTGGTCACTCCCGGTTGTGCCATATCCCAGTTTTTGCCGATATATGGCAATATCTGCAGTGACTTGTTCTCGAAAAGCTTGCTAGATTCTCTTTGTTCTTTGTTTGCCTGTGCTATGTTTAACAGGCCAGGATATGGATATATTAACTAAAAAAAAACAGTGGGGAAGGAAAGGGGAGAGGGAGGTGAGTTTACCTTAGTGGCTTTTTTTAAAGATTCGATTTGGTGACAAATTTTCTAGTAAGCCTCAGTAATACAGGTCACAGGGTCACAGCGTGAGTCACCCGACAGTTTTAAAAAACAAAATTTCATGGGGGAATGTGTTCCATCTAATGCTTCACTCTGTCCATATGTACTTAACACTTTATATATATATATATACTTTTTAAAATTTACAAATGAAAATAAGTACGTTTAGAAAAAAAATTATTAACGAACTGTGAAATGTATTTTTATTTTTAATTTTAAAAAAAAGGGAATTCTTATGGGTTCATGTCAAATTTTTTTTTTTTTAGCATACATGGGGCAAAAGTGTTAAGAAAAGTTAAGGAGCTTTTTCACACCATTGGGGCATCAAGCAGATAGTGCTAGACACCTGTTTTTATTTACCAGTCATGGCTATATGGAAGATGTCATCATCATGCTGGCCACCCTTATTTTCCAGAGCATTTCCTAGTACCTATTTTAGACTAAGTTGACCTAGGAACCCAGGTCAGTTTAAAAAAAAAAAAATTCTACATCAGTTCCTGTTCAGTAATAGGAAGAACTGTACAAGAAAGTAACTCTCAAGATTCTTTCCCCCTATCTGTTCCACTCTCTTACAGGGTTGATCTGCTGCTTCCTGCATGTGCATCCCCATGGGGCCACTGTCGACTACTTGTGGTCGTACCTGCGCCAGATACTGTCGGTGAGGGTCCGAGAAGTGGAGGACCTGCTGGAGAAGATACCCTCCTTGTTCCAGCAGGAGATTGTTGGAGTCGGTGCTGCCATCGAGAGGAGGTGGACATACACCGGGCTGAGCAAGGAAGCATCGTCCGCTACATTATCCACTGCTAGGAACCCGGACTCAGGAGAGTAAAACTTCTCTGACATGGATCTTTTATTTTGTTTAGCTCCTTAATGAGTCTTTGGCACATTGGGTTGGGGTATGCAGCTAGGCTGTGATACCTGGGCTTTTTATTTGGGGCTGAAAACATCCTGTTCAAGGAAACCTTTCATTATACTCCTTTTACGACATGTTTGTTGAAAGGTGGGGGGGGGGGGGGGGGGGGGGGTCTGTTCCTCCCACCCCTGGGCCTTATAACTTACAATTTGCTTGTGTGGCTAATATCTGGTCATCAAGAATAGTTAAGTGTTTGCAGGTGAAGCTACTCTATGGCATGTAATCCTATTGAAGGATTTGAAATGCTAGCACCACATAAAAAAAAAAAAAAAAAACCAGTCTTTGCCTTCTCTAAAAATAAGTATTGGACAGAGATATCATGAGCCTAAGAATGTAAGGCCACAAGGCTAGTGCAGTTGCCACAAACTGTGCAGTTCAGAAATTTTATTTTTGACACCCCCCCCCCCCCCCCATCAGAGAAAAAAATTGCCTTCACTCTGCCGAGGATTTAAAAAAAATAATCTAGAATCGGTGAGTTGTTAACTCTTTGGCTCGACCTTGATTTCATGATAGATACCGTAAATCTGGGAAAATATGTGCTTTTTGGCCTACTTTCGAGCTTGAGCTCAGATCAAAAGGAGTTTGTAAAGGAGTTTGTCACATAAGCAAGGATCACTCTGAGAGCCTAGCAGTGCAAATGTTAGCCAGAAACTCCTCTGGCACTTCACAGAAATACTCACAATAAGCTGCAAGGGGTCCAGTGAAAGGGAAATAATGAAATAGTTGTTTGACTTTGGTCCAAGTCATGAAAATCAAAGACAGGGGAGGTGAACAGCTCAGTCCAGAGTTATACACTTATTGATGTGAGTGAGGTCTGTACCTGGATTCCATGGTGGCATACATGCTACACTTATTTACTGGACTGTTTTCAACCCTCATTGGAAACATTGAGGTAAAAAACAGGGGAGGTGAACAGCTCAGTCCAGAGTTATACACTTATTGTACATAATGCTGGCCACCTTTACTGCATAAGACAATTCCTACCCATTTTGCTGAGAGCCCAAGTTATTTATAAAACTCTACCCTGATATGGATTCAAATCAAAGTAGCCAGCAGGCAAGCTTCTAGCCAACACGTTGCCACAGCTCCAGACTTGAAAGATGTAGATGTAAAAAAAGCTACTCTTTCTGTCCGTATTTTCTCCTATTACCCGTTGCTGGGTTCCATCTTGACCGTGTCAGTTTTTTCTGTCTCTTCTTCTTCTTGGCGTTCACCAGCAGTAAACTTTGGCAGAAATTTCAGATTGTTTATCCACTTCTGGACTTTAGTCTTGTTCCAGAACCTGAGTTTTTGTGTGCACATTTTAAATTGTTTAAAATTGTTATTTATATGCAGACTGTTGGTTCTCCTCTTCTATGGCTGATGCACTCCAACTTCGAAGGAAACATCCCTCGTTAATTTACTTTTTCTACACGCTTGTTAGGGGAGCAGTGGTTCTCCTCCCCCCCTTTCCAGTGCACCCTGGGAACCCACACAGGGAGATATCAGTTGTTTAATTAACCAGTTTTGTCTGTTGATAAAAGACTGGTTGAAACTTTTGATTGTATCTGTAGATATTGTTTCACTTTTTTTTCTGTTGGGCTTTCTGACATAGTTTGGTTTTGTATTTGATTACTTTTCGCTAACTTGGTTGTGCTGCTGTTGGCTTATTATGTTTCATTTATAGTGTCATGGTGTCCGCCTTGAGTGCTAGAGGTTCCAGGTTTAATCTCTGGCAAGGGCAGGTGTTTTTTCACGTCGACTTGGACATCTAGTAATTTCCTCTGGTCTCTGGATAGTGAAATCGGATGCCCGTGTGTATTGTTGCGTAAAAAAAATCCCTTGGCAGTTGGAAACCAAAAAGAGTAGACTAACGACACTGCCCGGGCAACAGAGCCTGTGCACTGTGCTGAGCTTCTTCGGACTCAAGACTTGAGTTAGAAGAAGAACGGAGCACTTATGGGTTACTACCCATGTGCCATGATGTTGATCCGTTGTTTAAACCTCAAACCTCATTTATAGTGGTCAGTAAGTTTTTATACTTAAAAAAAAAATACAAATATCCCTAGTGATGTTACAAGCACACCTCAATTTATGCTTATATTGTCCTTCAGGAAGGGAAGACACACTAGGAAGGGAAGACACACTAGGAAGGGAAGACACATCAGGAAGGGAAGACACATCAGGAAGGGAAGACACATCAGGAAGGGAAGACACATCAGGAAGGGAAGACACACTAGGAAGGGAAGACACATCAGGAAGGGAAGACACACTAGGAAGGGAAGACACATCAGGAAGGGAAGACACATCAGGAAGGGAAGACACATCAGAAAGGGAAGACACATCAGAAAGGGAAGACACATCAGGAAGGGAAGACACACTAGGAAGGGAAGACACATCAGGAAGGGAAGACACACTAGGAAGGGAAGACACATCAGGAAGGGAAGACACATCAGGAAGGGAAGACACATCAGGAAGGGAAGACACATCAGGAAGGGAAGACACATCAGGAAGGGAAGACACATCAGAAAGGGAAGACACATCAGGAAGGGAAGACACACTAGGAAGAGAAGACACATCAGGAAGGGAAGACACACTAGGAAGGGAAGACACATCAGGAAGGGAAGACACATCAGGAAGGGAAGACACATCAGAAAGGGAAGACACATCAGGAAGGGAAGACACACTAGGAAGGGAAGACACATCAGGAAGGGAAGACACATCAGGAAGGGAAGACACATCAGGAAGGGA